GGGGGGGGGGGGGGGGGGGGCAAGTGTCATTGTCATTGATTGCCGCCTCCATAGCGAAAGCCTCGGCAAAGCATCCTCTTTGATGTTTCTGTGACGTGGCTCCTCCCAGAAAGTCCCCTTTCAGAGCAGGTGACCTCTGCATTTGGTTGTTCCCTGTCGTGTGCTACGGACTGCTGCCAGCAAAGCATGCGCCTCAAAGCCCAGGCGCTTGTAAAAGTTCAGCGCGGCTTGATTGCCGGACTCCACCTCTGATGTCTTTGATCTGGCAGCTAGCAAACGAACCAGTAGATCCGTGGAAAACAGGGCGATGTCGGCTCGAGTAGTAGTTCGGGTCAAGATGCATGCATCCAAAGCTGCCGGGCTCCACGGAGTCTGGACTTTGCAGCGCACCAACAAATAATCTGCGTTGCAACTCCCCTTCGTCTGGCTTCCGGTTGCACCACCAAGTTTTGGACCTCACAGCACACGTCGACATGCTATGGCGCTTCATACCGCCGATAGTCTGGCTTACTGCAGCCGACGGGCATAGCCGTCTTTCTTGACTTGTGCCATTCCAAGAACACCGTCCCTGCTTGTTGCAATGGCCGTAAGTGGAGCATCCGAAGACAAAGAGGAGTAGACCCGCCTGACTCGAGCACCCTGCTCCGAAAAGATGCGTCAACATGTTGCAGCTCTTTGCAGATTGGCAGTCGGGTCGCATAAATCCCAGGCCCAAGAAAGGATTGACATCGCTCTCAGCTTGGTTGCGCCCTTCGAACTCAGCAGCATCCTGCTGGCTCAGAAGTTGAGAGGCGCCCCACACATCGCCCATCCTCATTGCGGATCATGAAGCAATTTGCTGGAGCTAAAAAACTGGGCCATCCCTGCAGTCTGGGCTCGATGTTGCCTCTTTCACATCGAACTCCTGCATGGTCTCGTCGGTCTGACAAAACGAAAGGTGGAATGAGGAATGCAACACCGATGCATCTCGATGACACCTGGAACTGCTTCATCAACTCAGCTTCCCAGCCGGGCGTCTCGCCTGGGTTCTTCCAGTGGAAGCTTGCCTACTGTAATCCTGAACCACTTCTGCATGCTTTTGCTGCCTGACGTGTTCCACGCATAACTAATGTCAGGCACGAGTAGCAGCTCACTCGCTTGTTTTGACTGCAAACATGCGGCTTGCACATTTGGTTCAATACTACAAATTGTAAATCAAATTGAAACACAAGCTGCCTCAACCGCTCTGCTTTGAGGCGCCCTCCTACCACGCACACACTAAAGACTAGAGAGACTATCGACTGCGAGTTCTAAGACTCATGCACTTCCTCCATGGAGGGGATTACGCAACTCGCATCTGCTACCTTTGCACGCAGCAGGCCGTCCCTTATGAAGCAGCCTTTTCTGCAGCACATGTAGCTATCAACAAGCAGAGGACCAATCAACGATGACATCATGAGCAAATTCCAGATAATTAAAGTCATGGAGAATCACATCGCATCGTTACATACCAACGGACAGGATACCTTAGGTTGCTGGTCTCTGCAGCAGCTGGGGTTGCGTCCTCGCTCGTTGGAGGAACTCATTCCGAATTCATAAGCTTCCGGGCACTTTCATTCCAAAACGCATGCCCACGCAAAGATCATGATGAAGCTGGAAAACATGAGATCTCTGCAGGAAGAATCCCTTGAGGACATAGTTTGCCTAAGTGGGCGAAGTAAGATCCAGCAGTTGGCAGGTACCCTTCGTGATGGCAAACGCATCGAAAACGCGAATGCAATGCTCGGAACAATTTCTTCAAGGTGCTGCATGGGTCGTGGCATTCGCGACCGCACTCGCAATCTCCTGGCAGTCAATGTCAACCAGAATTCGCGCCGCTTTTTGCTACCAGCCACTAAGTTTGTTTCTCTGGCAGCATTACTTGCTCAATGAAGTTTGCAACGTCAGGCGGGCGCAGGCGCCATTTTGCTCGCAAGACAAATTCTAAACTCAGTGCGCATCTCAAGCCCCGATGCCGGTGGATGGACCAAGGTGCAGGCACAAAAGCTAAGCTTTCAGACCGGCATTGTTCTTCTTTGGCCCATCTACGGCACTATGCTGCACAACGGGGTTCTGGAGCCATGTGTTATCAGCAAATTGCTGTCAAGCTTCGTGAGGCCATCAGCCGTCATCAGATGTGTTGGGACCCAGTAGATCTGCTTAGGATCAACAGACTGTTGAACGGATCTGTTGACAAGGGACCTTTTGTCGGAGACGTTCGGATTCTCCGGTACGATGCAGTCGTAAAGGCTTTCAACATCTGTGACGTTTGTGAAAGCGGTCCCTACTGGCAGCTCGGACAAGCACAGGTTCAAGAAAGTTGAACGGTCTGCTCCTTCGTCTGCAGCGGAGGCTTCTGCTGCCAGAGTACTGCTACAAACTCGAACGCTGCGTCCCGACTTCCAGTCGAGAAGGGTTGTTTTTGCAAAGAATTTCAGAAACCTGCGGGGGTGCAATCATCCCGAGGGCACTATACTGACTCTTGAGCTGCTCTGTGTTGGCCCATGACGAATCAGTAAACGGGCACATTTTGGTAGACGATGCCCTGTTCTCGAGTGGCCGTGAGGAACTCCACGGTCTCGTAAAGCCTCTTGAGTCTTGAGATGCAGCACGCTTGTCGCTTGCCCCTTGGTGGACAAGATAACCACAAGAGAGACTTCAGGTCTCGTCTGCGAAGCAAGCCATTGAAGCGATCCTGCCACGCTTTTGAAGTCTTTCTACTCTTCAGCAGTCAGGGCCTCGCCTTCACGAGATCGGCCTCTTGCTACACTGCCAGAGGTCATCCCATTGATGAACGCGGTCTGCGTGACCTTGTAGCGATAGCGTCCCTCGCCGCAAGTCAGGTGGATCTCCTTGCCTTTGTAGATGCCGGGGTTGCCTTCGGGGACAATGTGCGTGGATCCCCACACGAACATGTCGGCAATGATGTTGTCGTCGAACTCAATGTGGTACGCGCACATAAAGTCGTCCACGTGCACGATCATCACCGCCCGCAGCTTCGCTTCGGAGTTCACGTAGTAGTACAAGCACTTGTCGAACTCCAGGCTGGACTCCAGGCTGCAATACCGCAGGAACAACATCAGACAAAGGTGCAGCAGAGGGTCCAGCAGACTAGCGTCTGCAACAATACCACCAAAGGTATGTGGACAACCGGTCCGTCACCATGAACATTCCGTCTTCACCGGTGCTACCAACTTTGCAGAACCTTCGCGAGAGCTACAACCAGGAGGGTCACATGGAACCACTACAAGCCGGAGCTACAGACGACCCAGCTTCTGCGACACCAGCTCCTTTGACACCCGGCACTTTGCTTTTCAGCCCTGGAGTGCAGGAGACTCCACCGTTCAGCCCCGGAATCACTGGAAACGCCAGACTGCAACGCCCTCGAAGGAGCTGCGCTGAACCAGCTGCTCGAAGTCGGCATGCTCATCAATGATGCGCTCAGCTATATGGAACACATGTGAAATTGGATGACCTCGCCACCGAACTCGCCGCTCAGATCACAACGAACGACGGGGAGGCCGAGACGATGTCGGCCTGGATCACCTCGCCGAAGTAGCTGCAGAAGTTGCGGGGAATCCCAGCCGGACGTGGCTTCAAAGGCATTTTGGCTCGGATGCGACTTCTACGCCGAAGTTGTCAAGGCTCGTCAGGACACGGGCGTTCAGGTGCCCGGCGGCTGCCACAACACGGACCCAGGCAGTTGCTCACCAGGACCCCTTGCATCAAGAACTGACAAGCTGCCTCCTCGAGAAGATCACCAAGCCGTGCCGCCCCACCAGGATCGATCGCAAGGAGCGGCAATCAGCGCGGGAGTTTCAGCAAGTGCACGTTGCGCGGAACCCGATGGCGCTACACATTGGGAGCCTGGGAAGAGCTGCTATCCTCGCGGCAATTGCCGCTTCCGCAGCCATCGGACATTTCTTCGGTCAGGCCGAATTGGGCCAGCGACCTGGTCCCGGAGATGCCGAGCTCTTCAACAACTGTTCGGAGGACTCTATGAGGAACCGTTAATTGGTGCCCGGGGCCAAGGCGACAGCCGACGACCACAAGATCCCGAAGCCACCCTGCAAGCACATCGATCACGACCGTCAATTGGCTTTCACGGCGAAGGAGCGGGCTTCTTCGGCGCTGGCGCAACGCCCCACTGTCCCTGGGCAAAACCGAGGTTGAGCGCGTGCAGAAGGAGGCCGATCGAGATTGCAGCCTGACGAGCGCCAACGCCGCGCCTTCAGTGCCAGTGATGAGGCTGGACACGGACGACGAGGATGAGGACTACGATTGGTCAGTGGTGCTCGACGTGTGAAACAAGGCACCCAAACATGGGTCACCGGCTTCCTCCGCCAACCTCAGAGGATCTACGATTCTACGATGCCGCGGTCACCGCCTAGATGCCCGTGCATAAGCAGGCGCACTCGGGCCACACGATCGACGTTATCGGAGTGAATGCAGGCATGGGCCGCATCATCGATATGTGCGGGGCTATGGTTTGAGTGTCCTGTAGCCCCTGGACTTAATTCGAGGACTTCGTGAAGGCCGTCTATAAGTTCAAGCCGTTGTGTGTGTGTGTCATGATGGCGTGGCCTGGCATTGAGTGCAATACTCATCGGTGCCAGGTGGGCCGCCAGACTTGTGCGGAACAGTGCAACAACGGCCGGCTCTTCAATTGCGAGGGCTCGCCAACCTCGGCGGCACGGAGGCTTAGTGAAGTCCAGCAGGCGATGCCGCGCAATGATGTGGTTGTTACTTGTTACCGTGTGCGATGCTGCCGCTTACGGCACTGAGGACCAGGATCAGCAGCCGCAGCTGCGCAGATACCAGTGGGCAACGAATTCCTCCATCGTTGCCGCAAACTTGAGTCGGCAGCTGGGCGAGGAGCAAGAGGCATGCCGTGTGCCGGAGGCTAGTGCGAAGAATGAGGCCTAATTATTGCGACGGCATCGTGCATGCCATCCTTGATGGAGTTGCTCGAGAAGCTCGGCGGATTTTCCCAGCCGCTTCACACGCAAGCCTCAAGAAGTTCACTTTGCTCGACCGGTGCCCGACCCTGAAACCTGGAACCTGATCCTCGACGACATGGAGGCCAAGTTCTCGAACACGCGCAAGAAGCCGTTCTACCTGAACAAGGGCGACCAGCTGTACCAGGCCGTGTCTGGCTTGTGCCGTGGCAAATTTCTCGTATCCAGGCAGCCTGGACTCCTCAAGTGCGGCGTCTGCCTCAAGAGTTTCCAGATACTCATCGTGATCGTGGTGTGACCAACCGGAGACTTTGAGCTTGACGCCGAAGACCTTGGGTCCACCAGCCACCCAAGCAAAGGTTCATTCGTGCCGTCCGCCGTCCGCGCAGCAGTTTTCTACAGGAGCCCCGCAAGACGGCCGAGGCCGAGACGATTGACGCGTCCGAGAAGCCGTCAATCCGTGCCCGGCTTTGACACCGAGATCTGGTTCGAGAGCAACATCGGCCGGAAGTTGCAAGGCACGCGAATATGGTCGCATCTCGCGCCTCGAGCGAAGTCCCAGCCTCACCGTGTTCATCATGAAGCGGATCAGGGTCATCTCGGCGGTGAGGATGTGCTTCACCACCACACGACATGCCTGCAGCCACGTGGGAGGAGCTCGGCTCGTTTCCATTCACACCGCAGGTGCTAGAGAATGCGAGCTGGCGCACCAGTTCCAGGGCCGGATCAAATTGATCCAGGATATTGCTCAAGACATAGCATGCTTCACGGTTTTCGAGAAAGCTGCAAATGGAAACGCAGATGTGGCCGTTAATCTTGACATATCTTGACAACCGGCACCTCAACACCGAAAATGCTAAAGTGCACACACCCCGTTGGAAAATCAATCACTGCCTGTAGCTTACGCTCGATCATCGGAAGGCTCAGCAGCAAAGGGATCTCACAGCTCTCATGCGGCAGGCTTGTCCTAAACTTTCCTAAAAAAACAAGCACGACGAGGAGGAACCATCGAGAGATACGGGGATATAAGCTTGCTCCTTGCTGA